GGACAAGACGTCATTCTTTTTGTGGCTATTCTCCTTTAACTGGTTGGATTCAGAGTGAAGCATCTGCCCCTGTGCTTTTTGTGGTGGGTAGTTTGAGGGTTTCCGACTCAGTGTTTTCACTGATGATGGGTCTGTTCAGATTCTCTGTTTTTTCCTCCTGTTTCTGTGAAGGGATCCGTTATCTACTGTGTTGCCGCATGATTCTTCACAGTCCGCTTTATCACCCTTTTTACGCCTGTAAGGGCAGGAGTCACATCCCCACTTTCATTTCTGATTCTGATAATTGGAATCTTCTGTTTCTCCTGCTCAGACTGGCTACAGATTTGTTGATTTTTTTGAACTTTTCCAAGAACCAGCCTTTGGTTTCATAGGTTTTGTCTGCTCTTTCATTAATGCCTGCTCTCATCTTTGTTACTTCGCTCCCCATCTGCTTTAAGTTTTCTTTACTTTTGTTTTCCCAGTTGTCTTAGGTTGGCATGTTAGCTCATTAATTTGGGATCTTTCTTCCTTCTTGTAGGCAGTGACAGCTATACATTTCCCTCTAAGCATTTTTCCTTTTTTCGTGTGTTTGTTTATTTACTTATTGAGACAGGATCTCGCTCTGTCACCCACGCTGGAGTGCAGTGGCACCATCATGGCTCACTGAAGCTACAGCCTCCCAGACTCAAGGGTCCTCCCATCTCAGCCTCCTGAGTAGCTGGGTCTACATGTGTGCACCACCACACCCAGCTCATTTTTGTATGTCTTGTAGAGATGGGGTTTTGCCACGTTGCCCAGGCTGGTCTCAAACTCCTGAGCTTAAGTAACCCTCCTGCCTCGGCCTCCCAAAGTGCTGGGATTACAGGCACTAGCCACTGCACTAACCCTCGAAGCGTTACTCTAGCTGCATCTTCATTCTTCCTCATCTCCAAGTCCGTTCCCTTCTGATTTCTTGTTTGGCCTCTTGATTAAGGATATGTTAAACTTCTACATGTTTGTGAGACTCCCAATTTTTTTGTTATTAATTTCTAATATTGTGAATGGGGAGTATACTTGTCTTATTTCTATCCTTTTAAATTTATTGAGGTTTGTTTTATGGCCTGGTATGTGGCCTTTTCTGGAGACTGTTCTATGTGCACATTGAAAAAAATATATCCTGAGTTGTTGGGGGAAGGATTCTGCAGACATCTGTGAGGTCCATTTGGCTTATAGTGTTCACATCTTCAGTTTCCTTGACTCTCCTGTGTAATTGTTCTATCTGTTATTGAAAGTAGGGTATTAATTAGCCAGGCGTGGTGGCAGGTGCTTGTAATCCCAGCTACTCGGGAGGCTGAGGCAGGTGAATCACCTGAACCCAGAAGGCAGAGGTTGTAGTGAGCCAAGATTGCACCACTGAACTCCAGCCGGGGCGACAGAGAAAGAACGCCTGTCAAAAAAAAAAAAAAAAAAAGGTTATGGAATGTCTATTCCTGTTTTCTGTTTGTCTTCAGTTTTTGCTTCATTTACTTGTGGCTATATTATTGGTGCATACGTTTTAATTGTTGTGTCTTCTTGATGGATTTTTCTCATTATATATTATCTCTAATGACACTCTTTGAAGTGGGCCTTGTCTGTTAGTATAGTCATTCCAGCTTTCCTGTGGTTGCTGTTTAGATGATGTCTCTTTCCCCATCTTCTTCCATCGTATCTGTTTGTTCCTTTGAATCGAAAATGTGTCTCCTATAGACAACTTACAGTTCAATTATTTTTAAAAATCCAGTCTGCCTTTGGATTGTTCATTCCATTCACATTGAATGTTATTCAGTCATACATTTGGGTGTGTGTCTGCTTCACATGCCTCCCGGACCACTTTGTTTCTGGATCCTTCCTTAACTGCTTTCTTACGCATTGGGTGAATATTTTCTAATGGAGCATTTTAATTTCACTAATGATATTTATATATTTATTTGTTTGTTTGTTCTTTTTGAGATGGAGTCTCACTCTGTTGCCCAGGCTGGAGTACAGTGGCGGGATCTCAGCTCACTGCAGCCTCTGCCTCCTGGGTCCAAGTGATTCTCCTGCCTCAGCCTCCCAGGTAGCTGAGATTACACATGCACGCCACCACACCCCACTAATTTTTGTAATTTTAGTAGAGACAGGTTTTTGCCTTGTTAGCCAAGCTGGTCTCAAACCCCTGACCTCAGGTCATCTGCCCACCTTGGCCTCCCAAAGTGCTGGGATTACAGGCATGAGCCACCACGGCCTAGCCCACTAATGAGATTTTAAAGGTTTTTTTTTTTTTTTTTTAGGTATTTCTTTTAGTGGTTGCTCTAGAGTTTACCACAGATAGTCAGAACCTGCTTCAGATTTGTGCTACCTTAATTCCAGTGAGATGGAGATGTCACACCTATATAGCTGTAGTGACTTTTCTCCCTTTAGGTGCATTGTTGTGATATACATTGTTACAATTATTGCTTTTGCTTCACTATCTGTAGTTTCCTTAGACCATTACACCTTTGGTCCCACACATCTCCTTTGGGCTTTTATTGGCAAATACATTGCACATGTATTACATTTCTATATGCTGTAGACGTAATACATTATATACATCTTATTTTTATACAGTTTTTCAAGTCAGTTAAGAGAAGAAAAAATGTGTTTATAGTGTCTTTCTAATTACATAATTGCCTTTACTAACACTTTTTATGTTGATCCAGATTATTGTCTGGGTCCCCTGCCTTCAGCCTGAAGAGTTTTCTTTAGGATTCCGCTCGCAGTGAATTCTCTTAATTTTTGTTTCCCTGGGAAAGTGTATATTTTTCACTCTCATTTTTGAACACTCTGCTGGATATAGAATTCTTGCTTGGCAGGTTTTTTTTTTTTTTCCCCCTTTGAGCACTTTGGATATGTCATCCCACTGCCTTCTGGCTTGCAGTCTTTCTGCTGAGGAGTCAGTGGCATCTCTGTTGAGGTTCCCTTGTGAGTGAATCTTCATCTTCCTTCTGGTTTTGCTCCTTCAATACTTTTTCCTTGTCTTTGACCTTCATTACTTTTATGATGATGTGTCTCTGTGTTTATCCTACGTGGACTTCATTGAGCTTCCTGGATATGTAGTTACCGGTTTTTTTCAGCCATTATCTCTTTGCATATTTTTTCTTCTCCCTTCTCTCGCCTTGAGTAGTCCCATTATGCGTCTGTTGGTGCAGATAATGGTGTCCTGCATTTCCCGAGGCTCTGTTTGCTTCTTTTCTCTCTGTTCTTCAGCTTGCATAATTCCTGTCACACTGTCTTCATGTTTGCTAATTCTTTTTTCTGCCAGTTAAAACCTACTGTTAAACTTTTCTAGTGATTTTGAAATTTTTTTATTTCAATTATTGCACTCTTCAGTTCCAGAATTTCCATTTGGGTATTTTTCTAAATGTCCATCTCTTTACCAATAGTCTCTATTTATGGCATTTCCATTTATGCTTCCTTTAGTTTTGTGAACATGTTTATAGTCGCTGCTTTGAAATCTCATTCTGTTAAATTGACATTTGGTCACTCACAGCAGTTTCTGTTGCCTTTCTGAGTGTATGAGTCATGTTTTCTTATTTTTTCCCTTCCCTCCCTTCTTTCTTCCTTCCTTCCTTCCTGCCTCCCTCCCCCCCCCTACATATCTTGTCATTCTTTGTTGGAAACTAGACATCTTAGATGGATATTCTAGCACTTTGGGTACTCCCCAGTCCTGGGCCTGTTGCTCATTGGTTTAGTCTTCTGGTGATGGGCCGGGTTACTGTTGTGATACCTATGTACCCCTCTTCCTCCCCAGCAACAGCCTCTGGGTGGGGGCAGCCTCAGTGTGCCACAGGCACCCTAGGACAACAGGGTTTGGGGAGCAACCTCTTCCTCTCGCTCACTGACCACACCCATTAAACTCCTAGTAGCCCGCTGAGAGCTCTGTTACTCCTCTACAACCTGAGCGTATGGCCGCTCCTTCTCATTGGTTTCTGAGAGTCTGATACTGTTCTGACCCCAGGAGGGCTCCTGTGGGCTGTCTTATCCCCTCATTCTCCAGCACACTAGCCAGCCTGCAGTCTAGGTTACACGGTCAGCAGACGATCAGTCTCCTAATTCCCTTCACCACCACCTCCAGTAGTTTTGAGCATGCCCTTAGGTATAAACTTCTTCATGTTCTGTTGCAAATGAAGTCACTTCCTTTGAGAAGAGAGTATTTCCTGCATGTAGCTACCTCCAGGCAAAAAATCTCTCAGGCAGGGATTTGGGGGATGGGGACAATGGCAAGCCTCAGTGTGAATGACACACACCCCCCTCTCAGAGCTGGGGGCGGCTCGCTGAGACCCCATCAGCCTCTCCTGGTCTGGAATCACTCCCATGTGAGCTGGGGCCAGGGCAGTCAGGCCCTATCTTCCCAGGGCCAGCCTCCCACCCAGGACAGTGGGGACTGGACAGGAGGAGGGAGCCCCCACCCCTCCACCGGCCTCCCCGAGGAGCAGAATGTGAGATGGTGATGTCTGCCTCTTCCTGGAGAAGAAGCCCCTGCAACTGGGAGCTGGGGTGGGGGGGGGGGGGCTGGGCGAGGCTGTACCTGTGGCTGCAGCCGCAGCCATGCCACCTGAAGTCTCTGGTCAAGCGGAGGGGAGGACGCAGTCTTGACACAGATGTCACAAATGCTCACCTTTCCTACAGAATTTTCCAAGATTTTCTTAAATGTTTGTTGTCCTGTTTGCTGTTAAGACCGTTTCCCAAGACGTTAAAAGCTCAGGGGTTTTAACATTATTATTTTCACCATTTCCTGAGTCAGCTAAGCTCATCGGCTCTCATGCCCGAAGTGATCACCATTCAATCTTGTGGGGGGGTTTTCCCCTTATTTATTTATTTAACAGGAATTGGGCCTGTTTGGCAATATCCCTTGCGCTTGCTTCGTGGGCTGGGGCGGGAAGAGTGGAGGAGGAAGGGTGGCCTGGGGGACGCCCCCCCGTCCTGCGGAAGGAGGGGCGCAGGCCCCGGCCCTAACGCCAGCCCTGCGTCCCCTCTCCCTGCAGGGCGAGTGCTCCCCCAAGTGCCGCAGCCTGTTCGTGCTCGAGACCGTGTGCGTGGCCTGGTTCTCCTTCGAGTTCCTGCTGCGCTCCCTGCAGGCCGAGAGCAAGTGCGCCTTCCTGCGGGCACCGCTCAACGTCATCGACATCCTGGCGCTGCTGCCGTTCTACGTGTCGCTGCTGCTCGGGCTGGCGGCTGGCCCGGGAGGGAGCAAGCTCCTGGAGCGCGCGGGGCTGGTGCTTCGCCTGCTGCGCGCGCTGCGCGTGCTCTACGTGATGCGCCTGGCGCGCCACTCTCTGGGGCTGCGCTCGCTGGGCCTGACCGTGCGCCGCTGCGCGCGCGAGTTCGGGCTGCTGCTGCTGTTCCTCTGCGTGGCCATGGCGCTCTTCGCGCCGCTGGTGCATCTGGCCGAGCGCGAGCTGGGCGCGCGCCGCGACTTCTCCAGCGTGCCCGCCAGCTACTGGTGGGCCGTGATCTCCATGACCACCGTGGGCTACGGCGACATGGTCCCGCGCAGCCTGCCCGGCCAGGTGGTGGCGCTCAGCAGCATCCTCAGCGGCATCCTGCTCATGGCCTTCCCGGTCACCTCCATCTTCCACACCTTCTCGCGCTCCTACTCCGAGCTCAAGGAGCAGCAGCAGCGCGCGGCCAGCCCCGAGCCGGCCCTGCGCGAGGACAGCACGCGCTCGGCCACGGCCACCGAGGACAGCTCGCAGGGCCCCGACAGCACGGGCCTGGCTGCCGACTCTGCAGACGCGCTGTGGGCCCGGGCACGGCCCTGACGCCGGCACCGCCCACACGAAGACCCCTCCACACCAGCTGCAGCGTCGGGAACCCGGAGGCGCGCGGGGCGTCTGGCCCGGGGGAGCGGGTCCTGCGGGCTGCGTCCTCGGCCGGCCCTCGTGCATGAGGAGTCCCAGAACTAGGCCGGGCCCCGCCTGGAAGCCACTGGCCTGTGACCTCTTGCCCCTTCCCTTTCCGTGGATTTTTAATTTTCTATGCCTAGCTAAAAATAAATTTAGTAAGTCCCAGAAATTCCACACCTGTTGTAGATGACTTTGTTTCCCCTCTGACCGTTCCTGCCTCCAGCCAGGGAGAAGTGGGGAGTTCAGGCCCCGCCGGCACTCGGAATGGGCAGGTCCCTGCAGGAGGTGGCCCTGGGCATCCAGCTCTGCCCACATCCCCTTCCCAGGGATGGGACAGGGGTTTGACGCTGACGCTCACAGCCCCACAGTCCGCCCCAGTAATTGCCCTTTCCAGGGTTGGGGAAGGGGGCTCCAGCCCTGACCTGTAACCTGCATCCTCTGACACCCCTTCCCTAGGGAATCTTAGAGGCTCGACCTCCGGAAGGGTGACAAGGGCCTCTGACACTCCCTTTGCACCAGGTTTGCGTGTGGCATTGTAACCCTTCCACGGCCTATGGGACCGTGTCCTTGTTCTTCTGGGACACCTCCTGTCCCCAACAGGAGTGTTTCCTTGGGGCTTCATTCAGATGGAAGACTGCCCTACCCTCTGCATGAGGCTATGGAGGGATTTGGCTCAGGGAGGAAGCGGCTGAGATTCCTCCAGAGGCGCCTGCGGGGACAGGTACCAAAGCTCGGGCCTCTCCCTGCAGGTGGAGAGGAAGGAACTTTCCACTTCGCGCTGCTGTATACACGTTCATTTTAGTGAGTTCAGCCAGGAGACCTGAGTCATGACCAGTCTGAAGCGGGAGGGGGACACCTCACCTGGAGGGTCCCACCTTCCATTACAAGGCAGCTAACGCGGGGCCCCTGGCACGGGTCAGTGCTGGGAGGAGGGGAGGTGGTGTCCGGAAGCCCATTTCCTGACTGTGGAAACCCAATACAATCCACCCGCTGCTCCCACACAACTTGCGGCGGAGCTCCTCTCAGGGTGTCCTGTGGTCTTTGGGGTCTGCCCTACAGCCTGGCACTCCTTGGCCTGAAAGAGGTTTTCTTCCATCATAAGGGAGTCAAGAGGAACCGCCAGGGCGCCTGAGCGTGACGTCCCTGCACTCAAGGCCTGGTTCTGCAGAGCTGCGTCCACAGCAGCAAGCCCATCTCCCTACCTGTGGCTGCACAGAATGCCCAGCTTGATGCTGGTCCCCAGCTCCCCGGCAGGGCTGGGTGCTCTCGAGATGCCAAGAGGAGAACCCCGGGCTGGAATGGGCTGGGGAAGGCATGAGGGGCCACCCTGATGCTACCTCAGCTCCCGGGAGCACACAGCACTTGGCTCCTCCGAGTGTCATGGCTCTGGGACAAGGAACAGGGGTCCAGGATGCAGGGAAACCGAAATAACCTTGGTCTTAGCAGCGACCGTTCCTCCAGGGTCAGGTGGGCGGATGCCAGTGTGCGGGAAGCCCTGCTTCCTCAGGGATCCTCACTTCAGCGCCTTGGGCAGAAAAGGCTCCCGTCATTCACACAGGGAAACAGAGCAATGCAATATCGGCCACGGCCAGACGTGGCTTCCAGGCCTGAGACTTGCCCCCCGCCCTTGGCACCACACATGAGTGGAAAGTGAGGGCCCTGGGGCTCACTGTGGCCCCACAGGGCTCAGGGCTGGCTGAGCACCTGCCCAGGCATCTGGCCTCCCTGGGGCAGGATCCCCTCCGGGACCAAAGCCACAGGAGTCTGTAAGGGATACAGTTGTGGAGAAAGCAGGAGACAGGCATGATCCAGGTGAGTGTGGAGCCTCTTCTCCACGGGCAGGGCCTGCAGCAGCCACTGGGACCACCTGGGGCTCAGACCCGCCTCCCCTAACCAGGTCAGCTGGTGCCCCAGGTGCCCATGACACGGGCTGGGCTTGGGGCCCCAGACACACAGTGGGGGCCTGAGGACTGGCAGCACACTGGAGGCTGCCTCTCAGTGATAGATAGCCTTGGGTCTTGCTCAGGAATGGGCAGAGTTTAGTACTGGGCTGAGAGGCCTGGGCAGAGGACCGCCCAAGGGGCCACACGCCAAGGCCAGCGCCCCCCACCCTCTGCTGCTTATCCCACCCTCTACTGGTGACCCCCAGGAACAGAAGGATTCTTCCTGTGTGATAAGGTGCTGACTACCACGAAGACCCCCAGAAACAAACCCAATTTGTTCTCCCTTGGAGGGCCAGGTGGGGAGTGATGGGGGATGGGGGTCTCAGACCTGCCCCTCCCCACCCTGGGCTGTGGGGTCTGGCCAGAGAGCCCTGGAGCCCTCCAAGACCAGGGTCCCCCAGAGGCCACCCTGGGTCACCAGGATGGGGTGCTAGGCAGTTGTGCTGAGACGGGTGGCACACTTCCACCCAGCCCCAGGCTTCCTTTTCACTCTACAGGTGCCCGGTGAGTCCCCCTCCCACACAGGCCTCAGGGAAGGGCACAGTGCTGGAGTCCATCAGGCCTGTGTCCTCGTGGGGTGAGGGGAACGTGAACTTCCCAGGCTCCCACGACCTGCTGTCCCACAGAGAGGCCCTCTTCAGCCTCCTCCTTCCCTGGTGCTTCTCTGTTGCTTCAAGACATCGAAAGGCATCACGGGGCAGCAGCGACCTGAGAGTTCAGAAACACAGTGACCCCCCGGTCCAGCCCCCGCCACGCAGGGCTGACACCTTGTTCCCATTTCCTCCCTGTTAAAACCTGGTGGCCCAGAGTGGTCCCCGTCTCCCATCCCCACCCTAGAGCTCTGGTTCATGTGGCACCGTCCACCACTTGAGGGCAGTGATTTGTGTCCCACACGTTCCAGACACGCTGGCCTTACTCTCCACCTTCCCTCAGGGATGCTGCCTGGATATTGACCGTGCCCTCTCCTCGCACCCGGATGGGCCTCAACCCAAACCCTGCTCTGCAACCTCCACCCGCACACCTGGTTGTTTACTGGACAAGAAGCTCACATGTTGCCTCCACTGTAAACACTACACAGAAAAAAATCACTGTGCGCACACAGCTCCATCTCTGTGTGCTGCTCTGAGATCGCAAATCTAGAAACACCTCCTTTTAAAGGAGACCCTTCCCATGCTTTCAGGCTTTGGTGGTGGGAGGGAGAAGGCAGATGTGGCAGCTGCAGAGGCCAAAGCAGCCGAGGCAGCGCCAAACCCACCCATGAGCAGCTGAAGGACCCGCGCCCCCGGTCCACAGGCACAGGCAGTGACATGTCCGAGGGGGCTGGGCTGTCGTCTCTGTGTCCAGGAGGAGCCTCCTGAGGTGCCAGAGCCCAGGCCAGCACCAGACCCCTCCCCCTGCCTGGGGCCCCACCACACCACACGAGATCCACACACGGTTTATTGATTCCAAGTCGCCACGGGGGGTACATTCAGCAGTCACCGCGCCTGCAATCGGTGACATTTTAATGTGAGGCAATTACCGCTATTAATTGCTTCATCTTTAAAAAATAAAAATTTTCAAAGCATCTCACAAGCCAGAGAGCAAAGCAGGACCCTCACTCAGACATTCAAGTTTTTCTGAGGAAACGCAGGAGGAGGAGGCAGCCTGGAGCATCTCGCCACGACCACAGCCACCGCCCGGCGTTGCGTTCAGAGGCCTGTGGGAAGCGGCCCCTGCGCCCGCGGAGGGGAAGACGACGGCCTGTTGGAGCCGCATGGAAGCATCCAGAACTCTGAGGCCTGGGGGCCAGCCGCAGTCAGCGCAGTGGTGCTGACACGGTGCGACCTCGAGTTAAACTGAAAATGGGGTGGGGGCAGAACGTGGGGTGACAAGGGTCAGACCAGTGGTTCCCACTGCAGCCAGAACTGCATGAGCTGGCACACGGGGGCGGGCAAGGGACAGGGGACGGGACAGCACCCGGCAGGGCCACCACCCCACTCAGGAATTTGCTTCAGGCCAAAAGTCCAGGACGGCAGGGCGAGGGGCCATCAGCCAGGACCAGCCCCCTCCGCTTCCTGGACCGAGGCCATCTCTCTCCTGGAAGAGAGACAGCTAAGCTGCATCCGGCGGAACAGTCAGCGCCCAGAAGGAAGGGATCTCTGCCAGAGGAGCCCAGGGGTGGCGTGCAGGGGCCTCAGCCCGGCCCCCTCGGCCTTCGCCCACCAGGGCCTCCACGTTGTCTGACGGTCGCCAGCATCTGCCACGTCCCCAAGGACTCAAGGAGAAGCAGAGCCTCTGGCAAGAGCAGCCTGAGCTTGCTCTGGCGATGCCCTGCGAGGCTGGACACAGCAGAACCTCAGGGCGCCTGGGCCTGTCTGCGCCTCAGGAGGCAGCCGCTCCGACCGCCCAGGAAAGCAGGAGCAGGTGACCCTGCATCCCCACAGCTGCCTTTCCACACGTGCCAGGAAGAGAAAACCCCGGCCTGCCCCTATGCCGGTCCCTAGCAGCAGAGGCCACCCCAGTCCAAGCAGGGGATCCGGCCAGGGTCTTTCAAGGTTGAGGGCTCTGCTCACAGGACTTGTGGGTATCCCGAGGCCCCCACAGCTTCATGGCTGGAGGCCGCTGGCCCGTATGTCCACCTGGAGCAGGGTCCCGTGGGCTGCCTTCCGCCTCCCCATGTGTACCTTGGGCTCAGGTGGTGTTTCGTGAGAGGAAACAGGAGAAACACTTGCTTTCTATTATCACCCTGAAAACACCCGAAACCCAGAGCTCGGGGTCAGATCCACCCTGGCCGACCTGTTGAGCACAAACGGCATCCCAGCCCCACCCCCACTGCCCACCCAGAGAGACCCCACAGAGACTGACAGAGACTCTGACACCAGGACCCCATCTCCCCCACACCTGCAGGGGCCACAGCACCCACCCTCCCCGTGGGGAGGTCAGGGCCCACCAGTGCCCAAGGCTGGCGGTCCCACATCCTCGTCCTCTCCACCCTCAAAGGGCCTTGGTGCTGGCGGGGTGCACGGTGTGAGGTGCCGGCTTCGGAGGGTGGTGGGCAAAGGCGTAGGCCTGCCCCAGGATGGCCAGGTCCACCAGCACCTGCAGCAGGCCGCACACAGAGAACTGCAGGGGTGCGCCCTTCAGCAGGAAGTAGGCTGTCTTGAAGGCATCACCGCTCGTCCACATGAGAACCATCTTGATGCTGCGGAGACACAAGCAGGCAATCAGTAGGTGACGTGGGGCTCAGGATACCCAGGGGGTCAAGGGGACACCCAGGCAGCAGGTGATGTGGGGCTCAGGACGCCCAGGGGGTCGAGGGGACACCCAGGCAGTCAGCGGGCGACCTGAGGCTCAGGGGCACCCAGGGGGTTGAGGGGACACCAAGTCAGTGGGGCGACCTGAGGCTTGGGCAATCAGGGAGTTGAGGGGACACCCAGGCAGTCAGTGGGGTGACCCGGGGGGTCAAGGACACCAGGAGGTTGGGGCCACCCCAGGGGGCCACAGGACACACCCTGACCCTGCCTGTCCCACCCAACCCCCCGCCCTGTGGCCTCAGGAGCTGCCGCCTGGCTGGGGTTCCAGGGGATCCGACCCAAGAAGAAAGATCTGCTCGAGACCACAGCGGGTGGCAGGGTGAGCAACCGAGGGGGTCAGGGCCTCTGGCAGGCAGTGGCAATTCCGGGAGGGGCCAGGCCTGGGAGGGTGCTGAGGATGCACCTCAGGGCCACCAGGCACGCAGCGGAGCAGAACAGCTGCTCTCAGGTCTCTGCCGGCCAGGCCTCCCTCCTTGGTGATTGGTGCAAACCTTCCCTCCCTTGAGTGAACAGGGAGCAGCCGCCACCCACAGTCGTGAGAACACCCTTCCCCACCGCTTCGTTCGTGCCCTGGCTTGCCTAGCAGTGAACATGAGCACCACTGCGCTTTCCCACGTGAAATGTTTAACTCAGCGGCTGCTGGCCCTTCCACAGCTCCCAAGGCCAGCGGCAGAGCCTGGGCAGGGAGCGCTGTCTTGACAGAGAGGACAAGACACGGCTGCCCCATACCCCACGGCCTCTGTCCTGCTCGTAAACCAGAGTGGGCACCTGCCTGCTGAGGCAGCCTGGGTGCCGGGGCCGCCCTGCACGAGGGTCTTCAAGCACAGCTGTGGCCAGGTGTGTGGATCAGGGCAGGGGTCCAGGCTGGAGCTGGGAACCCGTGGGAGGAGAGAGCCGGTGTCTGCACCCTTCTCTCTCTCAAGCCCACAGTGCTCTGCTCTGGCACACCCCAGCAGTCAGCTCAGGCCCCAGAATCCCCCCCACCACCACCTCCTTTAGGCCCAGGCAGGGCTGCAGAGCTGACTTGGGGTGGGACTCCAGGCCCTGGGACCACAGCCCCTGTGCAAAGGCCGACTCATCCCATATTAGCCTTGGACACAGCAGGCGCCCAAGCATTGCTCAGTGACTCCGCCTCTGTCCTGCCCAGCTTCTGGCTGACCCCTCACACCCAGGACAGGAAACAGGGCGATCACCTGACCTTCACACACGGCTAAGATTTCCCAGGATGAGTACTTCCTGAGAGCGACAAAGGCGGCCATGCCTGTGTCAGGGACGGGCTACTCCCCACACAAAGCCCGTGGCTTTATTTGGCATGCAGCGTCAGCTCACACTTGAGTTTCAACACTTGTTTTTAATCAGTTGACTAATTCTATGTAAACACACACACACACACACACACACACACACACACACACACACACACGATTCTGGCTTTCCTTGAAAAAGAGCCTTTTCAGATTTTAGATGATGAATCCAATTTCCTTAATAGATAGGCATTATCTATTTAATAATATTCAAGTTATTTCTTCTTGGGTCAAAGGAATTGGTCCATTTTATCCAAGTTTTCAAATGCATGGGCATGAAGTACATCGACTGCCTGTTGGGTCTACAGAATACCCTCCTCCATTCCAAATACTGGCAATCTGTGTTTGCTTGTCATTCCAGCTACCGGTTTATTGATTAATGATTTGTTTCAAAGCAGCAGCTTTGGGTTTCATTTTTTATACTTCTGCAGTTCTTTTTATTTTTGTTGCCTGGTGTTAGCTCTATTATTTCCTTCCTTCTGCTTGCTTGGCTTATTTTGCATTTCATTTTCCAGTTCCTTAAGCTTCACTGATGATTTCAGAACTTTCCTTTTCTAAAATCAGCATTTAATACTACAAAGTTAACTTTAAGGATTGCTTTAGTTGCATCCCACACATTTTGATAAGGTGTTGCATCTTTCGGTTCAAACTATTCTCAATAGTTTAAGACATTCTCTAACAGATTGTTTAAAAGTATCTTGTTTAGCTTCTAAATCTTTGGAGACTTAAGATCTATTTCTGCTATTAATTTCTAGCTTAATTATATTATAGTCACAGAAAATACTCTGGACAATTTCAGTTCTTTTAAATAAACTTTCATGACTCAGGCTGTGGTCTGTGTTGGTGAATGTCCCATGGGCTTCTGAAAAGAATGTGTACGTTCACTTGGTTGCTGGGGTCAGATTTTCTATATCCCTGCTAATTTCGTCTACTTCTTCCATCACTTACTGAGGAGAGCTGGAGTCCCTAACTGTAATGGTGGATTTGTCTTTGCGTTTCTATCAGTTCTGGCCTCTTATGTACTTTGAGGCTCTATTGTTAAGTGCATACACACTTAGAACTGTTGTATCTTCTTGGTGAATTCACCTGTTTATCGTGATGCAATGTCTCTTTTTATTCAAGGCAAATGTCCATTGTCTGATATTAATACAGCTCCTCCAAGGTTTGAGTCACACATGGATGGTGTCTTTCTCCATCCTTTTATTTTTATTTTTATTTATTTATTTTTTTTTTTTGAGACGGAGTTTCGCTCTTGTTACCCAGGCTGGAGTGCAATGGCGCGATCTCGGCTCACCGCAACCTCCGCCTCCTGGGTTCGGGCAATTCTCCTGCCTCAGCCTCCTGAGTAGCTGGGATTACAGGCACGTGCCACCATGCCCAGCTAATTTTTTGTATTTTTTCACCATGTTGACCAGGATGGTCTCGATCTCTTGACCTCGTGATCCACCCGCCTTGGCCTCCCAAAGTGCTGGGATTACAGGCTTGAGCCACCGCGCCCGGCCTCATCCTTTTATTTTTAATGTGTCACTGCACGGCCGCCTGGTCAGGACATCCCTGCACGCCAGGCATCAGCTACAGATGTAATTAAAGTGAGTTTTCTGTAAACAGTATGTAGTTGAGTTTTATGTTTCTTTTTAAATTAATCTGAACATCTCTCTCCTTTAATTGGTATGATTAGACCACTGACATTTAATGTTACTATTGATATGTTTGAATTTAGGTAGACCATTTTATTTTTTTTTGGTTCTCAGCTTGTCCCTGCTGTTTTATTCCTGCCTTAAGATTATTTGAAATTTTTTAAATATCCTATTTTATCTATTTGATTTTTCACTATCTCTTTGTATAGTTTATTTATTTATTTTTTTGAGATGGAGTCCCACTCTATCACCCAGGTTGGAGTGCAATGGCGTGATCTCAGCTCACTGCAACCCCTGCCTCAAGCAATTCTACTGCCTCAGCCTCCCGAGTAGCTGGGACTATAGGTGCACAACACCATGCCCGCCTAATCTTTTGTATTTTCGTAGAGACGGGGTTTCATGATGTTGACCAGGCTGGTCTCAAACTCCTGAGCTCAGGCAATCCGCCCGCCTTGGCCTCCCAAAGTGCTGGGATTACAAGTGTGAGCCATCATGACCAGCCACGAGAGACCCCCTTTCTCTCTGAGAGCATCCCTGCCTGTCGGACCCCACACCAAAGCCCTCAGGGCTGCCACTGCCCAACCCAACAGTAAGGGAACCTATTCCAGCCATGACTACCCTCTCAGGCCTCCACGCACCCTCACCCAGGAAACCTCAGCAACCCCAGTGGTCTTGATTCACTGTAACCACACCAACCAAGGTAGCCCAGTCCCCACCAGCACTCCACAACACATCCCAACCTGTACCTACACCTCACACCCATGCCAGCACCCCACACCTGTACCTACAACCCACACCTGTACCCATGCCCCACACCCCTACCTCAACCCACACCTACTATGCCCCACACCCGTACCTACAACACACACCTACACCCCACGCTGCACACCCCAACTCGTACCTACACCTCACACCTGTACTTACTGCCCACACCCATACCCATACCCCACACCTGTCCCTATGCCCCACACCCATACCTACAACACACACCTGTAACTGCACCCCACACCAGTATTAATATCTACACCTGTAACCCTGACCTGTACCTACATCTCACCCCCTACCACCACTCCACACCTGCAACAAGCTCTCATACATTTACCTATAACTGGTACCTGAACCTACATGCTACAGGACTTGCAGCCCCTCACACCTCTGCCTACACATGGGGGAGTCCTGCAAATACTCAGAAGTCCGTAGAAGCCCTGGAAGGGGTGCTATGGCCCTTGGGCACCCGTTCTCAAACACAAAAACACACGTTGGCCACCTCTGTTCCAGGCTGTTTCCCACAAATAACAAATCCAAGAACACCATTCCCTCCAAATCACAGCCTCAGCATCTGTGACAGAGACCAGACCTAAGCTAAGTGTGGAGGCTCAGGGGGGTCCTCAGTGAGGAGCAGGCACAGGGGGTACTCAGTAAGGAGCGGGCACAGGGGTGTCCTCAGTGGGGAGCGGGCACAGGGGTGTCCTCAGTGGGGAGCGGGCACAGAGGTGTCCTCAGTGAGGAGCGGGCACAGGGGTGTCCTCAGTGGGGAG